AAATGAACCAGTTAATGATAATTATAAGTGGGTGGTTTAATTAAAATCATCCCAAAGTAGCTTTATCGTTGCCATCATATGGCATACTAACCTTTTGCCAAGTTGCAAAATCCCCTAAAATCGCACTGTTTGCAGAAATTTCATTATTTCATTGCTCATAAAAGGAAACTCTTAATCAATCTCATGTCTATATTAAAATCTCTCAAAGGCATGTGTCAGCTGACATGTCCAAAATCATATGGTCCTGATTCACGTGGTGTCTTTCATCACTCTGGTTTGTAAATGGGAAGTTTTAGGGTCATAGTTTGTATTTGTATAAATTCAAACAGAAGCTTGACTCATATGCTGTGAGAAGCTGAACCTTGTTCCTTTGTTGCCAGATATATAAATAAATAAAACAGAAATCTAATAAGTTTGGCTTTAAGACAGACGAAACTGCATACTGTAACTCCCAGTCATCATCAGCCCACTGTGATTCAGCAGGAAAGACTGCAGTATTGTTTCTCGACCTCTGCATCTCTCTATTAGCCACCCATTCTGCTGTCTATTGAGAATGCAAAGTATTGGATTCACAGATCTATGCTATGAATTGTTATGGTAGCTAGTCAATAGCACAAATGACCCATGAGACTCTTGTCTCCTCCACATTAAAGAGTACTGTTCTTTCTGCTCAATTCCTGAACTTCGGTTAGTCGCTGCACTCGTCTATCTTATCGTGCTTCCCTCCTTGTAGCCGGTTACTTGCAAAATGCTGGGGGAAGATAACGTTGACTGAAAGTTCAAAAGTTTAGGACTGTGCCTCTGTGGTTTTGAGAGAGTTGGCAGTTGGGATGAAAAACCACATACATTACATGTCTTATCAGTGTGTCTCCAGCTTCCTTCAGCTGCCAACAGTAATCAACTATTCAATAAATTTATATCTACCTTTTTATGTGTGTCTAAAATCTGTTTATTAATATTTTCCAGCATTTTCCAAAAAATAAAAAAATAAACTAAAGAGAAAAACATATGAATACAGCAATACAATCTGATCAAGCCAGTAATAATGAACAATGGTGTGGGCAGTGCAGAAGAGATAAAGCCACCAACTTAAACAATATCAGCCATTTGGAGGGAAGGGTACCAAGGCTACAAAAGCCACCAACAGGGAAGAAGAAAGAGGCTGGAATTACACCAAATAATGCAGTTATACAGTTAAAGTTAATCAATTTTCCTGACCTTTGATAATGATCAATACATTTCCTCCCAGTAGGGTTGGGAAGTGTGACAAGACCAAAGTGTACACTGGTGACATCTGTCACATGTTGGGTCCACATTAATAGATTATAGAGAGCCTAACCTTTGTGACGTGAGAGCAGTATCTGTATGATGCTATCGCACAGATGAAGAACTTACGTGTATTACTTAATGCAGCTTCCCGGAGTTCCTGAGACATTTCTTCTCTCAGATCCACCTCCCTAAACTGATTTGATGGAATTTAAGGAGTCTAAGTGCAGGGAGTGAATTTGAACTTACGCACAGTACTGTGTAAAATTCTTGAGACACCTCTCAGCTCCTTATATTTTACTATTTGCACATGATTTACTGAAACAGGTGCAGACATACATGTAAATACAGCGTGTTAGGCAAAATTTGTACAGTTCTGAGGAGCTTGAAAGTAAATATTTGGAGTGACTGCCATTATTTTTTAATGTGGTCTGAACTATCTTAGGCAAGCTTTCTCGTAAGAGAACTCTTTAGGAACGGTTCTTCAGCTTTCTTGAGGAAGGATCCTGTGTTAGATCTTTGCTGGTCTTATTCCTAGTTCTATTAATAAGACTATAAATTTGTGGGCACCAAAAAAGGGTTTTTATAGATAGATTAAACTTTTCCGTTATCTGCTGTAAAGATACAAAGGTGTTGTTAATCTATGGGTCTTTAAATGATTCTAGCAGAGGTGTTGGACTATGAATTATGAGCATTTGGGTTGTCTTTAAAGCTGTTTGGAGAGCTAAACAACACCTAAACTAGTTCCAAATGGAACAATGGAACGGTCTGACTATAACATTTTTGACTGAGCCTATATTGAAAGACAAAGTTTACAGCCCCAAAATGGAGTTTCCAAATAACCTCTTGGGTAAACTCATTGTTTAGGCACAGATCCAAAAGCCACAGGAAGAGCTGGTTCCCATGAATGTTTAGCTGTCAGTTCAAACTCGCTCTCCAGCAGTTTGAGATGAATGAAAATGAAGTGAGAAATTTGTTATTTCTAACAGCATAGCTGCATCAGCAAAAAACACAACCTCCTAACAACATTAGCTTTAAATTCTCCAATAGTTATGACTCTGAAATATCTATAGTTGACAGTTTTTTCAACTTAAAAACTACATTGTCTTTTTAGGCCCATTCCACTTTTGACAACAAAGTTAGCATGTATTTTCCTACTTATCATATATGATGATTTTGAATAGTTTTCCTTTGTTTTTTAATGCAAGGGGAACCTTGGCAACTTACCAAAGAGAGAGATGTGTTTTAAAATGTTCGGCTATGTGTCAAGGTGTACAACAAAGACCTGTTAGACTAGATAAAACAGAATGTTTATCATCACCGCACAGCAAGAAGGCTCTGGGTTCAGGTCCACCAGCCAGCTGAGGCCTTTCTGTGTGGCGTTTGCATGTTCTCTTCATGTCTATATAGGTTCTCTTTGGGTACTCTGGCTTCCTTTCACACTCCACAGATATGCATGTTAAGTTAATTGGTGACTCTAAATTGGCCGTGAAGGTGAATGGTTGTCTGTCTCTCTGTGTTAGCCTTGTGATAGACCGGTGACCTGAACGGGGTGGGATAGGCTCCAGCCCAAACATGACCCTGAATTAGATAAGCAGAAGAAAATGGATGGATGTTAGTAATAATGTTTATAAGGCACCTATGGCATGTTTATGACCTAATGTGGTATTAATTAGCTATTTTTTACTTTACATATAACATAATATCAAAAAATAGCTCCTAGTGGCGTCAACTACTTGTCTTCTTCAGCGATGCTTTCTCAGTCCAGGTCTGTAATTACAGTGGAGTAAAACACGCTCAGTGACAGTCTCAAGTGTTCTATGATCAGCTCTTTAGCATGGTATGACGGTATGTAAGAAACATATAATAACATGGGGCATAGGGCATCTATAACAAGAACTGCTGTTAAAAATAAACTGCCAATATGTTTGGACTGCAGGAAGAATTCCAGAGTACATTCCCCAAATGTGGTATGTGGGGGTGGTAGATCAGGTCAAATGGAAAGACCTATTTGTGTCCCACACAGACAGGGATCCATAACCTCAAAGTCAGCATAAGAGTGAATGTACATTCCACTTTTTGCCACTATTATGTATTTCTGAAGAATAAAGCAAGAGTAGTAAGGACAGAATCCAGGAGAGGAGGAGGTGGTGCTCATTTTTTGCTATCTGTCAATATAAATTTAATGGCAAGGTGGTGAAACAGGGAGTCTTTTGATGTGCACTAGACAACAAGGTCCCTTTCTTTTGCACTACGGTGCCTTAGGAGATGGCCCACAGGCAGGCTTGCACACACCCATTAAACACACATACATGTATGAAACCACATCAGAGATCTTTTTGCTATTGCCCCAGGGTGGCTGTGGCTACATTGTAGCTTGCCATCACCAGTGTGTGAATGTGTGTGTGAATGGGTGGATGACAGGTTGTGTAAAGCGCTTTGGGGTCCTTAGGGACTAGAAAAGCGCTATACAAATACAGGCCATTTACCATTTACCATTTATTGAATTGCTCCTGAGCATTGTCCTGTTTGCACTAAAGGGAAACCAACTCATCGCCCTGAGATTGATTACACCCAATCAAAGTGCAAGTTACGCACACATACAGTAGGTGGCTGAGCTTTATAATCACTCCGCCCTCCCAGCCAGGAATCTTTATGGTGAAATTGCTCTCCACTTAAAAAACAGATGTTTTCGTGCTTTTTTCTTTAATGGTGTAGCCACTAAAAAGATTTTATAGACCCAGTTAGATCTGAGATAGACTTTAACTTTACGGCTTAGCCTTCACATTGATTCTGTTTCATCCCAGTATGCAAATCCAGTTAGCGTCTGGCTCCAGATTCCACTTACTTTGTCTGCAGGCACTCGTTTAAAATGAGACATATTTTGATTTCGAGACACATCTGCTTCATAGACAAGTGTAATACGATGATGAGGATGCAAAGACAGTTGGCGTGCTCAGGTGGTTTGGTGGTATGTTTTCTACAGTAGGTGACTACTATACAAACAATGGTTAAACTCTTACACTACTGGTAATTCAAGCGACATTTATATTCCTCAGTAGGGCCAAAGGTTATACAGGAAGTGGAGTAGCACAAAGGGTTGAGTCAGGGACTGTGATAGTAGTGTTTACAGTGCATGCATTTGTATCTTGTGTGTCCAAAGTTTGCTTAGGCTCAGAAAGCTATTCGCTATACCAACAAAATGAAATGAAACTGATACTCGATACAAATACAAATGGCAGCATCTTTGCACAGGAGCAGGCCGACACTGGCACAAGAGGGACAGCGAACACGGGTGACAGAAAGAGACTGATGAGAAGTTATGAGGCTCAGGTCCTACAGGAGAGCTAACCAAACTACAGGTGTATGTTTACAGTCTCAGTGCCAGACTTACTTAAGTAAGTGTTTCGTACATGCCACGTCCAAGATAACAGTTAGGTCACTCACTGTGTTGTGTAAATAACTCTCTGCTTTTTGTTTGGGGTTTGTCGTCACGTGCTACTAATGCCCTTGTTTGTGCTTCACTGGCTCAAGGCATGTCGCTAAGGTAGTGTTTAAATACATAAAGATACCTTGCTCCAATTGGTAGTGTATAAGTACCTTTTTTTTCCTCAGGTGCTATCACAGTCACAAACAAAATCAGCATAATCTATTCATAGTTAAAACAGGGCTCCTTTAAGATGACCAGTTAATATACAACATAAAGAATCTCTATGTCAGTGTGAAACAGTAAATAGTTCTGTTAAAGGTTTTAATATATAGGTTGCAAGTGTGAACACAAGTTTCTGCCATTTAGTACATTAGTAGCATAACATATGTGTAATTGTATTTAACTGTAGATATCAAGTTTTTGCCTTTGCATATGATTCTTTTGCTTATTTCTTTTTATAAACTGCTGCATATCTGCTTTTAAAGTCATCGTGTTTACATTTAGGTCATCCACACCTTCATTTAAACCACTCCAAACCTACAGAAACAATAACTCCATTGGTCTTCCAATGGTCCTCCTTTTAAGACTTGGTTTTAGGTGTAGCCCACCAGACGGGGCATGCTAGGAAAGCTCTTGCGCATACTCATGCACTTCTCCTGGTCCAGGAAAAGTGAATTGGCTTTGACAGATAGGTCATGTTCCAGGGATACTTTGGTCTTCACCAAAGTCTGCAGAGTGTTCTCGGCCTCCATCAGCCTCTCTTGAAGTTTCCGAATAGTGTCCTCGATCTCTCTCACCTCACTCACAAGTCTGAATAATTAGAGAGAGAAAGACTGCTTACTGTCAAATCTGCAGCATAGGGAAAGAAGTTAAGGAAACTTTCCAAAGTATGACATTGTGAGATTTGCAATTAAAGGTAATAATTTATATTATTGTTCATTTAAACCACAGAGAGGCCAAACCCCTCTAAAATGTATCAAATGACAAAGTTAAAAAACATTTTTGGCAGTAATTCACTGGTATTACACTTTGTCACTCAATGAGGTTGATTAACTAAAAGTGACGTTAAAAATTAAGTTAAAAGTACAAATAGCAGCCGGTTAAAATCAGGGAAATCAGTGCATTCTTTGTCAATGATTTGATTCTTGATTGAGAAATGGTATATTTGCATAATTTTCTTCACTCCTTGAAGTAATTTGTAACATGCAAAAGGCACACACTACATTGCAAAATAGCCTGAGATGCGTTACCACATAATTACTAGTTATATCAACCACCAGAAAGCAGTTTTCCTTCTTAGGTGTGGTTCTGGCTCAGGAGGTAAGGCAGGTCACCTACGTCCATTGGAGTATGAATGTGTGTGAATCTTAGGTTACGTTCACACTGCAGGTCTTAATGCTCAATTCCGATTTTTTGATCAAATCCGATTTTTTTTGTCTGCTTGTTCAGACTACAAATAAAATGTGACAGCAAACGCGCTCTAGTGTGAACCCTCAAAGCGGCCCGCATGTGCAAAAGACGACGTCATACACAACGCGCTCTGTTTAGACCCAGAGCAAACAGTATTGTTTGACTGATGGCCCTTAATATAAAGACTTGTTTCGGACTTTACGTTTCCCAATTTTGCTTTAAGTTATAAAGTTATTTTGTTATTTACATATGGCCTAATAATTATCCTTATTGCTGTTTTAGAGAGGAGCAGTGCTTCAAAGGATAGTTGCAGATTTCTGTAAGAATCTGCAGATTATACAGTACAAATAAAATATTCACGTTTCTCCAACGTTGTCTTCCCAATAGTTTCACTGACATCTACACTGGATGGCCAGAAAGCGTTCACAATGTCTTCTCCGGCGCTGATAATTGGCGTCTGTCTTGTGTCAGTGACGTAAAAGACGGATTTAATGCGACATGACCATTCAAACAGCAGTCGCTTTCTAAAACATCAGATATGTATCGGATTCAGCACCACATACGAAAGTGACCCAGGTCGGATTTGAAAATATCGGATTTGTGCTGTTCAAACTGTCATACATAGGGTCAAAAAAGTCGGATTTGATGTGCTTTTGCCTGCAGTGTGAACGTAGCCTTAGACAGACAGTGCTTACATAGAAAAAAGTGCTTGTATAAATCGGAGTGAATGGGTGAATGCGGCAACGTGTATAAAGCGTTCTGAGTACTCAGAGTAGAAAAACGCCATATGGGAACCCGTCCATTTACCATTCCTGACTCCTAAAACCAGACAGCTTTTTGTCCTTCACCATGACCAGCTGGTGTCTGCTGATTGTAGCACAAATGTAGAAGGTTTGGTGATTTTCTTTCTCTATTCACCCTTAGTGCAAGTAACTGAAACTCAAAACCTTTTTGTCTGGAGGAACAATCTAATAACATCTGAAATCACATCTGATTTGGAAATGTGGAACAAACTACCTGTGGTGTGGATTGTCCCTGCAGAGCTCTATGTTGGGTCTGCGGATCCTCTCCTCCAGCCTCGTTTGGGCCACTTTTAATGGGGACTCTTTATCTCTGAGAGCCTTCTTTATTGACTCAATTAGCATCTCAGTCTGAAAGATCTCTTGTAGAGTCTGCATGAAAAGACAAAAGACAACAAATTGTGATGCAGCCGCTGAGAGTTCCAGTCATGTAAGCATAGCTGAGTTAGGCATGGAAATTAAGGGAAAGGCTGACCCGAAGCCAAAAGAGGGGAAAATGTGAGAATCTCAATAAAAAGGATCATGTACAAAGCTGCAGACTTTGAGTCAGCTGAACACAGGCACACACATGCACAGTGGCCTGCTCTGTCCAACCTCATCTGAAATAATTTCATTTCAGCCAATCGCTACTTCTTACAGCTAACAGTGAGTGAGGTTTATTGAAGACCTTGTGCTTCATATCACTCCTGTCAGTGTTCGAACTATCCAGCAGCTCTCGATGGCAACCTGAAATCAATGGGATAAAGTGCAGAATGTGACACAAGCAATGAACAAACTACTACAGCTCCTCTCCTTTGACAGGGATGTTTTGCAAATATAATCCATATAATCCACCATAGAGGGCAAATCTGCACAGCTGATGGAGATAGAGAGTTTTAGAAAGAAGCGGGGAAAAGGATTGTACAGACACATGATCTCTTCCTAATAAGTGGCAAATGTAGTTAAATACTCAATAAGAAAAAAGGAATGGATTTTTTTCTTTTTTTTCCTAAAATAAAACCATGTGATTGCCTCTGAAACCACTTTTCTTAATAATCTATTTCACATTGTGAAATAATCAAGAACGAAGTCCAACATAAGAATAAAATTAGGAACAGGCTGTAATTCATTACACTACGATTAAAATACAGTGATAAAAAAAATGTCCCCGTTACATAACCTTATCAAGATATTATTGTCTTTTATGAAATAAACCATGCAGAAAAGGTGATGACCTTAGCCAGGTGTGTTTGCAAGCTGTTCTTGGCATCACCGGTTTCTGATATGCGGTTGGTGAAGGCTACGTTGACATTGTTGAACTGGTTCCACATTTCATTGGAAGTGGCGTTCAGCAGGATTTCTATCTCATCCCTGAGCTTGTGGGAGGCAGCTCGCTCACTTTGGGAATGCAGGATGTTGTCATCTGTAAACTTGGACCACGAGTCAGGCAGAGAGATTCTGACAGAGAAACAGTTAGATGCATTTACAGTATGTTCCAACACTCCCACTGGTTTTGAACATGATGCATTTGGAAAAGAGTTTTTCAGATATCACAAAACTTTTTAGCTATTTTAGCCAAATTTCATTGTTATTGTTCTTAAACTTTTGAGAGGCAGGGGCTTGTTAGCAAACGAAAACCTTCAAGGGCCCATCATAATAAACCAGATTATATAGTAAGTCTATTACAAAGAATTACTATGATTAGTAAACTTTCAGGTACCATTCTTAGTGAAAAACTTTTCAACCTAAATGCTTAAAATGCATGAAAACTGGTACAAAAATGAAGTGAGCTAGTATAAAGAACACAATATGATGGTTTGGGTTTTTTGTAGTATAACTGTACAGTTAGACATTAGATTTACCCTGAAGTCTTAGGTACATGCATTCATGTCCCTGTTAGGTTGCAATAGTTGTGGTTACTTAAATGTTTATTGGGAATGACAATTATGGAAAATTGTATAAAGTTTTTGTTTGTTTGTTTTAGCAATTGCTAGTATTCAAACGGGAGATGGTGAACATGGTAAAGCTGACACTTATAGTCATCATTTACACTCACTGGCCACTTTACTAGGTGCTGCTCAATTGCTGGTTACAAAAAACTAATCAGCCAATCACATGGTGGGAACTCAGTACATTTAGGAATGTAGACATTTTCAAGATGATCTGCTAAAGTTTAAACAGAGCATCAAAATGGAAAACAAAGGTGATTTAAGTGACTTTGAACATGGTGTGGTTGTTGGTGCCGGATGGGCTGATCTACTCGGATGTTTCCGCACAACCAACTCTAGAAATTCCAGAGAATTACATGTGAAAGAGAAAATATCCAGCGAGCGGCAGTTTTGTAGATGAAAATGCCTTGTTAGTGTCAGTGGTCCACGAATAATGGCCAGACTGCATCAAGTTGATAGGAAGTTCATTCAAATAATAATGCATTATAACCACAGTGTGCAGAAGAGCATCTCTGAATACTTGACATGTGGAACCTTGAAGCAGATGGGCCACAGCAGCAAAAGACCACACTGGGTGCCATCCTGTTAGCTAATAACAGGAACCTGAGGCTACCATTCTCAGAGTCTCACTGAAAGTGGGCAATAGAAGACTGGAAAACTGGTTTCTCCTGCATGATGGTACGGTGAGAATTTGAAAATATGAAAGCATTTATCCTTTCTACCTTATATCAACAGTTTGATGGTGATGGTGTTTTAGTTTCTTGCCACACTTTGAGGCCCTTTAATACCAACTGAGTTAAACACCACCGCCTACCTGAGCATTGTTGCTGGCCGTGTCCACAGAGTGTCAGTCTATACTGCCAGCAGTATAACACATGTCACAAAACTCCGATCACCTCAGCCTAGTTTCTTGAACACAACAATGGCCTCCAGACTCACCAGATGTCAATCCAATATGATCTCAGTGTGTTGGAAGCACCACGTTGAATCAATAGCACTACAAATTAAGGTAGTTTGGAAGGCAAAAGCAAGGTGCACCATATAAAGTAACCAGTGAGTGTATATCGTAGCCCTGGTGTGCGTAAGTGCAGCTTCACTATGTTCCTGGCATTACTATTAACTTTTAATCGCCTGATAAAATATTTACATCTCACTTGCAACAAATCACCAATATACAGTAATGCTTCAAGACTGCTTAACATTTTTATATATTTATCTGGACACAACAATTTATCATTTCATGCAAGCGTAAACAAATTCTGGACAGCAATATCAAGTATTTCATCGAATATAATTGAATCATTCAGATATTCAAATATATAATTATACTCACGAAGGGTCTAGTCTGTCAATTCCTCTGTAATAGCCAATACCATCCGATGTGTTCCTTAAATGGTGACACCTTTGATCTATCCTCTGCGCTGTCAGTTTGTCACTCAGATCTCGTTCCAACTCATGTTGAGCTGCTCGGTTTGACCTAATGAATCACATAACGTAAAACAGAAATGAAAACTTTTATAAATTGAGCACATGTCAAACTGCACAGTCTTAGTCAGATTGTCAGACTTACGCTAGCTGAGCAATGGCTCTGTCCAGATGTCGCCTCATCCTTTCCTGACATGACTTTATAACTTCTACCTCCTTTTTTAGCACAGGTAGAAAGAATATAACAACTTTCTTATTTCTGCAGTAATATTGGTCTCATGAGTCCCAAATATATATATATAACCACACTGATCTTTCATTTTACCTTTATGAGGTCTTTCTCTACGTCATCGTGTACCAGGTCAATGGACATCCGCCGCTCTCTGTGGTACAGACACTCTTGAGACACCTGTTAGCAAAATTTTATTTTGACTAAAGCAAGATGCAATGGTAAATCCATAAAGAACATTTTCTTTATTTAACAGTGATTGTGACACTCCAAAAGATGGGGATATAATATGATTGTAAAGAAAAACACAATTTATATCAATATCAAGGTGTGCATATACTAAGTTCTGCAACATGTTTGGATCATACTCCAATTTCAGTCACCTGGAGAAGTCTCTAAGAAAGTCTCATGCTACATGATATTGGTCTAGAAAGGTGTCCCTGTCATCAGATATAAAGCCAGATCAAGTTAACTCTCTCAGGGGGACTATGGTCATTCGAACAGGGCACTAGGATGACCTATTTATGGGACTGACCCAGTGAAAGCACCGTCATTTTGAAGGGTTGCAAGGGATCATGCAAAAACTGTCTCTACAACCAAACAGACGACTGCTTTAAAACTGGCATAATATGGATGATTGATAATATGCGTGCACTCAGTCTTAGTATGACCAGTGTTATGTCATGTTTTCTCTCAAACAAATAAAAAATATCAAGCTAAATGTTCAAATAATATCACTCAAAATTAGTGTGCATCCGTGAAAAAAAAATTCAAAGTAGCTCATTGAAACATATTCCTTCCAGCCTCACCTGAAGGGGCCCTTCAGTCTCTGCCAAGGCTCTCTCTAGCCTCCTTTTGACCTCATTAAGAGCTGCTATCTCTGTCACCATGTTGTCGATCTCATGGCTCAGCTCAGACTTCCAAAAGACAATGTCATTGAGCCTTTCTCCTATGTTCTTGCTGGTATTCTCCTGGGTTCGTCTGGTAAGTTGCTCTTTATCCTGCATCAGCCTGATGGTGTCTCTTCTTAGTCTCTCTGCGCTTTTCCGGGAAGACTCGGATTCCCTGTAGTTGTTGTGGTTGGACTTGTACCAGTCATCTGGAGTGTAGCGGGTGGTCAGCGCACTCCTGTTGGATGGGTACAACACCGTCTTGGCACGAACCAAATCTAAATTCTCTCGTTGTATGGAAGGGGATGGGATAGTGCTGTTGCTCTTGTAATAGCTGTTTGTCCTCCACAGACTGGCATTGGGATTCATGACCAGGGCTGCCTGGGGGTTTCGATAGCTGGATGCCATAGTGGAGATGGCAGGGAGAAAGTGGCTGCTTTTTGGCCGAGCGTATGTTGCTGTCAGAGTGGATCCAATCAACTCCATTTTTCGAAGCCTGCAAGGGTTCAAAGTGGTACTACTGGTCCTGAGTCAAAGTAAAGAAAAAAGTTCTCAAACTGATTTGAATATTTTACATATTCATATTAGCTACCTGGATCAGACATTTAAAGCAGTTTACAAACTCTGTAGGTTGGTTAAGTATACAAAGAAAACGTGTTTAGATGGCTCATTAGAGTAAGAAGGTGGAAAATAAAATCAGAACTAAGGTGAAGCATCAAAGTAGACAAAGAACTGCCTTACCAAGATGAACGCTTGTCAGTTGCTCGACAGTGTCTTGTGACCAGCTGCCTCTCAGCTCTGTTTACCTGAGAATGAGCTCAAGAACGCACTAAAGGTAAACTGGCATGCATAATAGAAAAGTTAGCAAGTCATTCATTCAGCCAACCAATGGTGTTGCACAGTCCTGGACAGCAGCAGCTGGCCTTGTTCAAGATTTCTGTTGACACAGAAGCAGTTGCCATGGGTTACTGCAACACTGTGCCAAGGATTTTCAGATTAATAGTGACCAGGTGCTTTTCTTTGGACTAGTAAATGCACCAGTGTTACAAAATGTGTCCACAGGACAGATGTAACTTTGGTGTTTGTAATGTTTCTTCTTATTAGATTTCTTTATAAAATCCTACTGACCTCCTGTGACTTTACAAAGTTCCAGTCCACTTTTCAACCAATACAGGCACAGCTTATCAGGAACACAGTTAAAGTGGAAAAGTAAAATGCAGTGAAAACAACACAGCAAATAGATGCCTATATTATAAACCCTCAGCACCATGAACTGTGATTTTTTTTTTAATTCACTGATAACTTACAGCTCTCCACATTCTGCCTGTTCTCTTCTTTCTTCATTAAACAAGATAAACATTCAAAATACACCCCAATCAGTTTTTAAAGAATTTATTTACGGATGATCGATTACTTTCTGTAGCTTAATCAAGCCATTTGTCATTAAAATCCTCGATAGAAGGGAAGCAATCGGAGCTTTGTTTTTAAAGCAGTCAACTTCAGTTGGTCTCCATGCATGCACACATTAGCTCACCGTCACCCTGAGAACCAAGCTGTCTGTATTGATTGCAGTTACTTGTTTAATGATTCATGCCGCAGGAAGAGTCCACACAAACCCCTGTAGCACAGAATAATAATCTGTGTTGTGTTACCTACCATTGGAAATGAGTATCGTTTACATTAATCTGTTCTGAGGGGGTAGGGCTGGACAGATGATAGCCTGGTTTCCACAGGGACAAGGAAAGGTGTAACCAGGATTTATTTAGCTCTGTCTTAACAATAGAAGTGTGATCTGAACAAAATCTTTGAATGAGATTATTTTGGGGTCTTTCCAACCACCATGTTATTTAATCTACTGCTAATTATTTAATGTTGTAATAATTTTAAAACTTTACTTGGCAGAGTTTATGGCGGGTAAAGAGAGCTTTCTCATCCTCCCTGGCTGTATGATAATACTTAACCAGCAACTTTCAGTGAGATCAGCTTTCCATCTTACTGACACTTACACACTCATAATGTAGGACTCAAGCACAGAATGTTTTCTAACTCCATGTTTGTAGAGAATAACATCTATATTGCTGTCCCTTTATGTATGAATGCTGTGTTAAATACTGTTGTAGCAGCAATCATTTAGTTAGCTTGTCCTCATTACATGAAAGAAGTTAGTACCCTTACAATCTGGAAGTAAATTAGTGTAACTCCCCAAGTAGGGTCCAGTCTGAATTTGATCTATGTACTCAGGTATTTAAGGTGTACTGTACTGACAAGCTTAATTAATATTTGTTTTTTGGGAACAAATTTTTTTTGACATGTTTTTATTTAAGTAAAAAAACAAACAAATCCATCAAACCCCACTTTAGAGATCACATAATGAAATCTCAAACTCATTAATGAAGAATTTGTGATTGGCTTGCAGGTTTATATGTCCTGCCCTGGAACCTCCTCCAAGACCTGCCCACTTTATAACTGGAAAGGTCTTGGTGGCCACCACGTGCAGTTTTGCAGCCCGTGCTCAGCTACTATTGTCATAAACATACAGGTTTAGATTTAGAATGGAATGGCGCACCATTGCTCCACCCCTGCAGCCTGCGGCATCACTTAACATGGCTAGGTTGAAGAAGGCCATCCCACACGCTTCTACTGCCCTGACCTCATCCACTATAAATACACCCCAGAAAAGCACGAAAAGCGCGCCTGCGTTTGAAATTCCTCCCCTGGATAGAACTGCAAGTGTCCCCTGGAAAAGCGATTCCTAGTGAAGCTCCCCACTGGCCTCTGAACATGAAGGCAATGTAAGAGGGGCCTATATATACTCCTGCCATGTGGCCCATGAGAGCATGTTGTTAATTACTGCACAGTAGAAATGTCTGAGGGAGCAAGTGTGCTGTCTACTCCGCTTAGAGTACAGTGATACAGAACTGAAGGCTGTAATCTTCAGCAGTATAAAACCATTAATAAAACAGAGCTTCTAAATTGAGTCATAGTATGAAGTTTTAAGAAATAGTTTCCTTTTCTTATGTGGTATATAGTAGTAGCCATTTAGCAGTCAAGCTATATTGCTGTGGGGAAAAAATGACAAGCAGGAAAATTATAGTGTCATAATTTTTTTAATTTATGTTCTGTGGTTTGGCAGAGGTGTCCAAGCCTTGAATTTTTCTCATTTTGGCTGCAATGAAAGTGGCAGTGAATTGTCAAATTGGACTGGACAGGTAGAAAAATACACTGAACCTGCAGTCAGCGTTCACTGCTTCACACATGTAGACATGTACTTTGATATTATTTCTTTTGCAACATTAATACTGGAAGACATACAATGCTCCGGTGCTCCGAATTCAGAGATCGGTTTTAATAAGCTGTGCAGATACCAGTGTCCTCCTTCAAACACCCGACAACCAAAATAGCTGGAGATACAAAATAAGAACTTGATCCTTCTGCTTGAGTGTGGACAACCACAACCAACTGCACATCTGAGACATTTTGTAACTATGTCCTGCAAAGTTAGGATGCTGTAGCATTGTTATAATCTGTTCACAACCAGAGCGGATAATTGCGGCACTTTTTAAACTTTGCACAGAGAAATATCAAACAAACAAACTTGGTGATAGTTCTCTTATTTTCTTACTATATGTAGCAACACACCCCTTTCACCACACACAATCCCTTAAGGTCGTGTCCTTTCCTTTCCACCACTGACCTTCTCTTGATTGGGTAAGAATAGACGACGTGAGGAGGTCAGGTGTGTTTTCTAAACATTCCTAATTAGTAAAAAAAAAACAAAAAAAAAAAAAAAAAACACAGGTTCCCTGTTCCCTCCCAGGTTCCCTGTTCCCTCCCAGGTTCCCTGTTCCCTCCCTGGGCCCCTAGTGCTTTCACTTCTTCAAACCCCACCTATTTTGATGTCAACCTGGCAATTGTCCAAGCCTCTGGTTGTACCACAGCTTCCTCTATTGGCAAGATTGATATGAGGTGCTTTCCTGTGATTTGCTTACACTCCTGACTGCTGGGTCAAACAGATAAACTAGACTTGTAGCTGTCTTTATGCCCGACTATGCAGGCCATTATACTGGCATCAGTTTCCTCTCATGAATTCTAGATGGATCCTTCTACGAGGAGGGCGGCCACACCTGGAGAACAATACAGAAGATGTAATGAACCATTAAATCTAATGACAATATTAGAGATCCCCCACTGTGGTAATGGAGCATCCAGGTGGGAAAATCACAGGAGCCTCCTGAGCTTATCACAGATTGTCAGTAGTCACCCAAGGAAGTGTTTCTGTGTGTTCTAATGATTTCTTCTAATAGCCATAATACACATTCATCCTTGTACTTCTATATTGTGAGTCCTCCAGTTTGTCTTCTTTGGTAACAGTGGTATCATGATGTTGAGTGAAGTTGATTATTTAGGCTCTTATAACCTGAGAGGTCAAAGCAGTTCCTTGTAGTGGTGGGTCAAAAATGTAACAAATTTTTAAATCTATAGATGAAATCCAGCCTCTGATTGCAATTTAATTTAGTTTCTATGCTATTCTTTCATCTCAGCACCCCAAGATAATCATTACTGTGACTATTCTATACAAATATAACCCAAATAAATGTAAAAAATCATGGTTGCAATCTGAAAACCTGAAAATACACCCTGTCTCCAATATCTTCAGTGATATTAACAAAATTTCTAGGCCTTCTTAAAACAGAGTTCAAGTTGGCTTTTAGTAGATTTGATAGTCCCTTTTTTATGTGATGCTGCCAAGTGGTCAGTATTATTTGGTCAGTATTATTTAGATGTATGTTAGATGTAAGTGTATTAAGTTTTATTTTTTTTATTCCACTTATCGTGTTTTGAAGTTTTTGCATGTTTCATGTTGTTTTTATCTTGTCAAAGTACAAAGATGGTGATATAATTTTGCAGTGTGTGTGTCTGTTTGTGTATTATGTACTTATAAAATATGAACGTGATCTTATTACAGTATTATAGAAGGTTGTTACTGAAGCTTGTGAATTGTTTTTTTTTATTCTTTACACTAAATAACGGTGCTCTATATTATATTGACAGGGTGTCATTTATGCCTATTGTGTATACTATTGTACATTTTGTACTATATCTGTGAAGCTTATTCAGTACGCTAAATGTTGCATAGCAATGCAAACCTATTAAGATGCTTCTTTGCCATGTGCATGTTTGTGTGGAGTTGCATGGCAACTTTCTACTGTATCTGCAGTCTGATGTCTGCAACTGTCTGAAGCAAAGAGCATTCTATGTCCTCGCCATAAAGCAGGCAGATGGATATTGTATTAGATACTCAGACAGAGGAAGCAGAGATGCACAGACATCCAGGCAACAGATATTTTTGTGTCCTGGGTAACAAAAAAAAAAGCATTAAAGTTGACATTATTTTATACCCAACCCATTCTAAGATGGGAAATACTGATCTATCATCATTAGGCATTATGGCTGTTAGTGGTTGGCACAAAATGAATTGCACTTGTTGCCATCTGCTTTCTTTCCAAAGTGCACAGATAATTATTCATTGTCATAAAAGGACATCACATAAAACACTTGTAGCAGAAACGTTGCAAGCTGCTTTTGTTTTTAACTGTTTAAAAGATGAAGTTAAGAGGGTTACATGTACCCTAGTATGCATTTGAGCGTTTTCATTGTGAGTGATATCTATCTACTTTAATTAATGTTGCAAATAAAGAAAATTAAATGCAATGGATGGATTTGGTTTGCGTGGTGGCTGGCTATCATATGGTGGTACAGGGAAGGGCAATGTGTGTCTGACAGGATGGGCAAGGGGTGGATGGACTCTAGCCATCCCCCACTCTGTGATCAAGGCTCCCAGTTGCAAACTTCCAGAGTGGGACGAGGGGCCATGAATGGAGGGCTTTGTTCAATCCGTGGTCATCACATTCCACTGGAGCCACTGTGTGGCATTCAGCAGAGCGGAGGAGAGGGCAGGCCAGGGCAGGACAGGACAGACGAGGGGAGGCCTGGAGAGGAAACACTAAGCAGCCTCTCTGTCTGTCACATCAAAACATTAAGATCTGTGCCATTTATGTAGAGGAAGTATTTTTAGCTTAGTGCTAATGCTGTAGATGCTAAAGTCTTTGCACTGTTTATGTGTACTTTTTAAAACACAAAGCCAGTCTTTAAGATTTTCTTATGTGAAGCTCCTTGACTTTTCATTACCTGCAGGACAGCAATGCACCTTTACTGGTGATATGTTTTTTAAGCAGTTCAGCACTCTGTGAATTGGTCACCACTGTTCTATAAGGTTACAGTTAGACTGGTGGTTGTAATTCTAGTTGTTTTTTTGGTTACATGGTTAAGAAGAGGAATGAAGTCTAATGTTTCCATGCTGACTCAGGAG